GCCAGAGGCTGGCCCACTATTTCGCGGATGCCCTCGAGGCCCGTTTGGCCGGCGGGCGAAGCCCGATTTACAAATCGATCGCCGCTCGGAAGACAAAGGCTTCGGACTACCTTCGGGCCTACTACACGTCCCTTGCATCGGCTCCATTTAAAAAAATCTCGAATTTCGCATCCATTCGAACAATAATCAACGAGACCCGAAAGGCTGACAAAGTCCACGTCATCGATTTTGGTATCCTGTACGGATTCCAATGGCCCACCTTCATCCAGCGCATCTCGAAACGGGAGAACGGGCCTCCGAGGGTTAAGATCACTGGGATTGATTTCCCTCAACCGGGCTTCAGGCCTGCAGAGCGGGTCGAGGATACGGGCCAGAGGCTGGCCCGTTACGCGGAGAAATTCGGTGTCCCGTTTGAGTACAACGCGATTGCTCGAAAATGGGAGAATATCCGGCCTGAGGATCTGAAAATCGAGACAGACGAGTATTTGGCCGTGACATGCATGTACCGAGGCAAAAACTTGCCGGACGAGTCAGTTATGGCACAAAGCTGCTCCCGGACTAAGGTTCTCGATTTAATCCGGAAAATAAAACCGGACATTTTTATCCACGGCGTGGTGAACGGCACTTACGGGGCCCCGTTTTTCTTGACCCGGTTTCGTGAGGTTCTTTACCATTTTTCGGCTTTGTTCGACATGTTGGAAGCTTGTGTGCCTCGTGAAATTACCGAAAGGACCCTCATTGAAAAAGAGATGTTCGGGAGGGAGGCTTTCAATGTGGTGGCTTGCGAGGGTTGGGAGAGGGTCGAAAGGCCCGAGACTTATAAGCAGTGGCAGGTTCGTAATATGAGGGCCGGGTTTGGACAGGTGGCGTTTGACCGGGAGATTGTTCGGGAGGCGATGGAGAAGGTGAAGATGTACTTTCACAAGGATTTTCTGATCGATGAGCAGAGTAGGTGGGTGTTGCTCGGGTGGAGAGGGAGGATAGTTAACGCCATTTCGTGCTGGAAACCCGTCTGATGAAACTAAGGAAGAAGATCCGAGTTTTGCTGCTTTCTGCAGAAGCTTATTCAGCTGTAAATCTGTTTTTCATGTATGTTACAGAGGAATTGAAATCAGTAGTTTGTATTGATCATTCAGGTTTCTGATAGTTTGTTGATGTGCTTACTGCTTAGGCAAATTGGTATTAAAAAATAAATAAATAAATAAATAAAATCTCTTCTTTCATTGTTTCTCTTTAGACCCTTTGAAGAATTTTGTCCAAAATCACTTTTTTTTTTTTTTGTCCAATGAACTTGGAATCATGAGGGACATTCTTTAGCTAAAAGCATAAATGCAATAAGAAACAGATTTCCAATAAAATGTTTCCCTTCAGTACATAATAGTTGCAATTTGAGCAGCAAAGAGCGATTTCGGATGAACAAAAACGAGTAAACCTTCTGCTGCATATAAATTTCAAACAAAATATCTTCAGCCATTAAAGACTCGCAAATCAACCGACACGAATTCACAGCTTGGGTGGACTCTGCTCGTCAAACCACCGTGGGGGATCAAAACCAGATCCTCCTGTCAAGTATTAAACCACCAAATTGATCAGAAATAAACAAGGGCAAGCAATACAACCATTCAATATCAAGAACGACTAAAGCAAATGGATTGCATGATTTCGAACAATCCTCGACCATCAATTTCGACAAAACAATACGCGTTACACAACTCACATCAATACCATCTATTATATAAAGATTGAGGAAATTTACCGAGAGGATTGCAACAAAAACTACATAGAACCATTCAATATCAACTGAGAAATTCGAAAAAAACAAATTGCACGATTTCGTGCAATCCTCGGCCATCAATTTTTGGCAAAACAACACGCGTTACACAATTCACATCAACACCATCTATTATTATAAAGATTGAGGTAATTTACCAAGGCCTCGTTTACTTAAAATGATGGGATTAAACAGTTTAATCCTATCAACTTTACACGTCAGGCTTGGGTCCAATGTTTATAAAACGGATATGGGGGCTCTGCGGTGCTTACTTAAACAACCGATACTGTTGTGCAATATCTACCGTTGGATATTAGATCTGCTGTATAATATCTACCGTTGGAAATTAAAAGATCTAGTGGCCACAAATTTTGGCCAAAACAAAATTTACATGTGAAAAAAAGTAAGAACACCGCCTCAAACAATCCGCCAAACATATAAATCAAAAACTCTCTCTATCTATCTTCATTTCATCTCTAAATTCAATTGCTCCACTCGGCTGCAAGAAAAAAAATGCATCAGTAGCCTAGCGATAAAGTATTTCCATGAATGAATTATTGGTTCCTTTTTTTTTTACCCGAGTTGAGTCATGAAGGATCCACGGACCGAAAACGACGACTTGGACGATGACAACTCCAGAAATCGTGTCGGCACTTATCTTTCAGAAAAGCCGAACTCGACAGAAGATGAAGTTGACAGGGATTACGCGTGGGTAAATTTATTAGAGCTACATCTGAGTGTCAGAGGGCCGGCGTCGACCCTCCGTCGAATGCCGAGCAAGAAAAGATCACAAAGACCAGGGTTGGAAAATAATCCAAGGAGCGATAGAAGTCCAACCTGAATATCGGCCCCTACCTATGCATCCAGGATTTGGAAATCATATAATATTGCCACTTGTCAAGTGATGATTACTGATGGGACACGCATTCTAATCTACCAGCTAGGGCACCTAGATCGGTATAGCGGCCTATCAGCATTAAATGTTCTACATGTGTGCATTTAATGTGTGACAGGTAATCATTGAGAAAACCTCAGACCTCATTTAACGCTTGTCAGAACGGCACCGTTGCCCCAAATTACTGTGCGAAGTGACATGATGAACAATATGTGAATAGTGTTGGGTTGGGGTTATTATAAATAATTGATGATCCTCATTTAATAAGGGTTGATTTTCTACCAACTCTCTGTCTCTCTACATTTATTCTCCAGAAAAAAGCTTGTTATTATTCCCGAGTGTAACTAAAGAGCCGACCTCAATATCGGAGGCCGATCTCATATTAAGTAATAAAGACTTGCTTATCTCGTAAACCCTTGTTCTTTAATCGTTTTATCACTCTTAAATCCTTTATATGATGATTGGACATAGAATTTGGTTTTTTTTGGATTTTTTAGTTTAGTTTGGCTAATTTTTAAAAAAGTGGTATGGTTAGTGAAGTTTCTAGAAAAAAAAAAATATATCAAACGATGCACTGCACCTTGGGTCGCTACGGAAACAACCTCCTTGTATAATTACAAGGGTAAGGTTTGCGTACAACTGACCCCCATACCCCAACTAGTTGGGAATATACTGGGTATGTTATGTAAAAGTAAGAGAGATAATTTGAAGTGATGGTTAGTTAAAATTATGTGAGTTTATGAATAGTGAATTAAAGATGATGTGGTGTGTAAGAATGATTGATTGATATTATTTAATTATATTAAAATATTGATGATACTGGGGTTAGTTAAAGTTGAGTTAAAAAAGTGGTTGAGTTAAGAATGATTGGATTTTTTTTGAGATAGTTTTGTATCCAACATCACTTATTAACAGTTGATTGATTCCGATCTTCAACACATGGTTATTTGGTTTTGTATTTGTTTTCAATTTATTTTCTATTATATCTTTCATGTGTAGTTTAATTCATGTGGTGAATTTCTTTATTTTTTGGTAATTTTACATTCTTTTGAGTTTTTAAGTTGTTCTGAGTGTTTCAGTGGGATTTTTTTTCTTTTAATTTAGTGTTCTTGGTGATGAGTGACAATGGCGATAAAAAAAATTGGCAGCGACATATTTATCTAGTAGAATAAATTATCGACTGTGTTTGAAAGGGAAAGATAACTAGTTTGTTGTTTTTGTGCCAATATATTTCATTTTCTTGACCGTTAGATATTTTTTAACGTATCCAATCACTGATATTGCACAGTAGAGGTGTGTTGTTTAAAGACTCACCATCAAGACCCCCGATCCTTACAAAACATGAGGCATTTTAAAACAAAAACAATCAAGCAATTGCAATTACTAACCTAGATAAATGACAACCTAAGTAAAATACAACAACAACAACAACAACAACAACAACGCCTTTTAGTCCCAAACAAGTTGGGGTAGACTAGAGATGAAACCCAAGAGAAACAGTGGGATCCACATGACGATTTTATATGGCCTAAATCTGTAATTTGGTGGACTTTTAAGGGTAAAAGGGGCATTTCACATGTCAATTTTTAGACAAAATAGTCATTTCTAAGATGGGATTAAATTGTCCCACCCTCAAGACAGGACAAAGTAATCTATCTGTGTGAGACCCTCATATTATCAATCCTATCATGGTTAGTAAATGTTAAGACAACAGGAGTTATCTAACCATATCCTATCCTATCATATTATATCCTATCAACTTAAGTAAACGATGCCCAAGAGGATTGCAACCACAACTACATAGAACCATTTAATATCAACTGAGAACTACGAAAGAAAACAACTTGCACGATTTCGTGCAAATCCTCGGCCATCAATTTTCGCTAAACAATACACAGAGACTAAGGTAAAATTTACCGAGAGGATTGCAACGGCACATGCGGCAAACGGTCAACACAGTACCCTTCACAGCACCGTATTTTTTATAAGCAATCGTCGAGTACTCGCTGCAAGTCGGGACATATCGGCAGCTTCTCGGCAACAATGGCGATATTTCTCCTGTTATGTTTTGCAGTAATAAGGATTGATAATAACAGCAAAACCCCCCCTCAAGTTACAAACTTTGCTAAAAAGGGACTCACTTTTGTAGAACCTGAGCACACACAGTGCCGCTTGGACGCCTAGACTATAACCTTCATCATCTGAAGAATTAAAGACAATTTTTTTTTTTTGTAAAAAAAAAAAGAATTTCTGCAACAAGACACGAAATTAGGGAAATTAAACGTTACCCTCTGAACCATTTTGAGCTGGGTCTTCTTCTGAACTGGTTCGAACCAAGGAACGACGTCGTCGCAGCTTTTGTTCCTGAAAAAAAGATAAGGTCATGAACAGATATTACCAGAAACGAATTGGAATGTAAAGAGAAAGTCATCAATGAATTACGCTGATGAAGGATGAGAAAAATGAGTAATTTTCAGGGAATCGCGTGGGAATTTGTGTCTGGTTGCAGGTGAAATTAGGGTTTGTGCGACGAGAAAATGATTTTTGGGAGATTTTACAGTTAAAAGAGGGAGCTAGCGCCATTTGGAGACAGTCTATTGCATTTATGCCCCAAAGCTTTGCTAATATTATTATTTCAATTGTGTTTTATTAAAAAGAAATAGGAAAATGGTAAAAAAAAAGGTTGATTATGTTGAAATTTAGATTTGGTTTTTAGTTTGGAATTATATAAGTTAAAATGTAATGATGAATGCTAATGTAATGTAAAAAAATTAGTAAACTAAAGATTGATAGTTAAAAATACGTGAGTTGATTAATTGTAAATTTTGTTGAAAATTGTGTTGTAGTCATTGATTGATATTATTTAATTATATTGAGAAAAATTGAATTAGACAAAATTTGAGTTGGATTTATAAAAATTTGTATTCAATCGTAGTTCATATGTATCTGATTGCACAAATCTCTCCAAATTTGTTCTGTGCATGTATAAGATTTAATTTTTCATCAATACAATTGAGAGGTAGTTGCTACGAGTTATATATGGTTTTATTTGAGCTGAGTCGAACAACTTATGTTAAACCTCGTACTTGTTTAATGAATTAGTGCAAACAATTAAATTAATTTAGTAATTTAAAATCTTTAATGAGCCCTTCGCAAACAAGTTTGACTCGTCTGTTTCATTAAAAATCCATAAAAGATAGTTGTTCAAGAAAAATCTATGTGGCTTAATTATACATTTGTAGTGCAAATTCATACTTTTAACATGGCAATACTATTCAATTTTTTTTTTTTTTTTTTTATAATGATTTAACTTTGTTATGTTATAAAAAAAAAATGCCTCAATGTTAAATCCATATTTTTATAAAGTAAAAATGTTTTCACATGTCATTATAGATAATACACTTTTTACTATTAAAAAAGAAAAAAAATTACAAAAATAGAAATGTCATGATTGCACCAAGATAAAGACCCATTACCATAACATAATATTCAATCAAAATTAAGCTTTTACCATAATGTGGAATCATGACAAGATTGAAACTTTCATTCAATTTTTTTTAAAAAAAAAAATTAAAATAAAATAAAATAAAATTGACTTAAAACAAAAACTCAGCTAGTTTTTGTTATTCTCAAGTCAATTCAATTACATCACTCTCAACAACATGTGTTGAAAAAAACAAACAGAAAAACAATAATTAAAGAATGTGGGCAGCTAATTAATTCATCAATTATTGAAATCAATCATGATTTTCAATGATATTTTAAAAGAATTTCGTGCGGAACTCAGATATTAAGACATCTGATGGAGACTAATAATAAACATGTTCATAACAACTCTTATTTCAGATAAAGAGTTTGCGTGTTAAAAAAGCTCTTGATTCATAAAGCAAACTCACATATTATTGCATTAGATTAAATATTTCGACATTAATTTTTACAATAATTGATGACAATAGCATGAGCTTTGTCATTGTATATAAGACAATGACATGAAAACCTAAAGTCTAAGCTGTAACAGATGTCTCGACTGCAACTCCCGAGTAGTTAACGTTGTTCGAAAGCTTCTCGGATTCCCAGAGCTCGGGTATCGCTTCCCGAAGATTGTGAATGCTTTCCAACACATAATCTGCTCCTTTCACTCTCTGAGATTTACCGACCTGCATTGTTTTCGCAATTTTTTTTAGCACGAACATCTCGAGTCTACTTTGGTATGGTTAATTACAACAAGAAGACCCTAAATCTATCTAGTAAAATCACAAAAGTTGCCTTAACCTGCATTCAGTTTGTAAAACAAGATAGAATGTTTAGGCAATGTATCTGATTTTAGGGGAAAAAATTGGAGATTTAGTCCTGTAACTCATACTAAATTAGTTACATACTACATTATTCCACCGTAAAAACCAGTCAATTTGACCGGCGGCTGAGTTGGACATTTTAGTCGGCTACCACGTGCACGAAAAAAAAAATGAAAAATAATATACACGTCAGCGAACTGGTCACATGGACTGGCTTTTGCTGGTGGAAGGACCAAAAGTCTGGACAATCACCGGATTATTTATCAATTAGGTGTTTAGTTACATGACTAAATCTCCTTTTTTCCTAAATTTGGGCAATTTGTAAGTAGACATAAAACTTCTTCTCATAAAATTAGTTACCAGAACGGTATCAAGTCCTAGTCGTTTTCCAGACTGAATATTCCGAACACTATCCTCAAAAAACAGCTGCACAAAAAAGAAAAGAAAAATAAAACACAAAGATTGAATAAGAACATAATAAGCAATGAGGGAATCAATCAACCAAAACCAAAGGTCCAACAAATGCAAAGGATTTTACGAATAAACGGTAAACTAACTTACTGTTCTTTGCGGATCAATGTTGGCAATTTTAAGAGCCTTATCAATGGCACTTTCAGATGGTTTGCACACAACCGGGGTTTTTGGAAGGCTCGATGAATTTGCATCTGGGCTCGAAAAATGTCCAATAATGTCGAAAATTTCTGAGTTACTGTTAGAAGCACTGGGATGAATGAATCCCGACCCCACAAACTCAACATCATCCTCATCGTCCGATGGAGTAGTCTTGTGAGTCGGGTTAAGCGTCTCGAAACATATGATCCCTTCGAAACAGTCCTCGAGACCGAGTCGACTAAGTGCTTTGACCGCGTGTACCCTATCAGCATTCGTGAAGATCTGTTTTCACAATAAAGGGTAAAAAAAAAGGATTAACCATTTTCGAAATTTCAAGAATCAAAATGCTCTGCATTTGAAACTACAAAAGATAAAGGACTTACAACTTTGCGCATAGGCAAGCTTAACAAAAGGCTTCTCAAAACAGGGTCGGGTTTTAGGTTATCGTACGGCAATCTACCGTGAACAAAGCTGCAAGATTAAAAAAATCTTCAGTCTAATAAAAATCAAACATATCATACAACTTAGTTAAGACAATCTGAAGTAAATTCTTGGCATACCTATGATACTCATCATAGTCGAAATCATAGCCAATGGCCTGAACAGGAAAAATATCGCGCGATTAATAATGTTCTTCCAAATACAAACTCATTTAAATCGAGTCGTAAACATGAGATAATGTGGGGCTTCAGGCTTACCCTTAGACCGGCCATTGTGGTGCCATAATTTTTATACAGTAGATCACATAAGGCAGGAATTTTGCTCTCATCAAGTCCCAATTTTTCGATCATATAATCTGAACAAAATTTAACCATTTACAGTGTGGAAGAAAAAAAAAAAAAAACATTTATAGTGATTAGCAACAGCAAGAGATGACTTTTTACCTTGGATGTTTTTAAGGACTGATGCAGCTAATCCACAACTCAGAGGGTAAAGAGTGTCATCAAGATCTAAACAAAGATGTAAAAGATTTTCATGTGTAAATACAATTAGTCACATACATATCAAGAATTGACTTTAACCAAACAACATGTGTGAAGAAAACAAATTACCAAACAGAAGGCAGTCGTATTTCGGCCTCTGGACTTGTCCGTAGCAATCCTCGTATTCCATCGTGATCTACAGCAATTATTCGAGCCGAAAATCGAGCAATGATTAATTCAATTCTGCCAAACTTTATATGCAGTAATCTAAATCCACTCATTCATAAGTGGGCAACTGTATGCCGGCTCAATACAAAGTGGTCCAAAAAATTAGAAGTTTCTTGAAGTTCTGCTGAAAACTTCCAGAAAGAAAAGGCAATATGAATATGATATTATGATACAAAGAAGCAAATTAAGGAGAAAGCTCTGTACAAGAACAGTTAGTTCAATCAATTACAACATAAAATTGAAAAAAAAAAAGAACTCACACACACAGACACACACACACACAGACACACAGACACACACACACACACACACACAAGGAAAAACCCACAAAACACAAGGAAACCAAAATGCTCCACAGAACAACAAGAAGAAAAAGGAACCAACTTGTTCATTTACAACATAAAAACTGAAAAAATAGAACATACAAACACACATATATGAAAAACACCCAACACCACACAGCAAAATCGAAATGCTCCATAAAACAAGAAGAAGAAAAAGGCACCACCTTTAACAATGGATGAAGAAAAAACAAAGTACCCATATCCCCAAAAAACTTCAACACGTATGTGGGCAAATAATCGAACAAAACCCCAAGAATTCAAAACCACCATAAACCCATTTGAATCATATTACACATTTCACAAATCCCAGATAAAATCAAGTCATAGCTTGACAAAACCCATGAGAGTCTAATCGAAGCTTGTGCATAGGTTGTCCGAATTTTACATCCATTTATATGAGCATGGTGTTATAGAGAAATTGCGAGAACATACCAGATTATGAATGGGGATAAACAGAGCTGGGATTATTAAACTAAAATGTGTGGAAGATGAACGAATTTCTAATTTTTAATCCCTTGTTTTTATAGAGATATTGATTGATGAAATCAGAAGCAGAGGGAGGAAGAAGAATGGTGGGATATGCTGGGCTTAAATAGACGAGCCGCTTGGCGATCGCCATTCTTTATTTTATTTTTATTTTTTTTTTTCCTTTTTTCTCCTAAAAAGGAAATCAACGGAAATAAATTTGAAATATGAAACTCATTTGTCTTTATATAAATATTTGAATAAAAATTATATGTATAATATGTGTGGAATTCTAAGAGTTTATTTTATTACTTGTGAGTATTTCCGGTATTAAATGGATTTAATTGAATTAAATAAATATACTACCTCCTATTTTTAATATATGTCGTTTTGAAAAGTTGCACACTAATTAAGAATATTTTTTTTGTCAATAATAACTTTATTTAATTGAAGATAAAGATGAATGTTTTGAGAAAAAGTGAAGAGTGAATATGAAAATACGTAATGTATTTATTGGCTAAATGAGGGTAATAATTGAAAAATATGTACAAAATATCAAAAACGATATTTATTTGGCAAATAATTGAAAAGGCTAGAATGACATTTAAAAAAAATAGGAGGGAGTATTTTTTTTTTTTCAGGAAAATGTATAGGTTCTCAATAAAATATCAAGTTTCAAGAAAACAACACACAATATTAATAACAATTAAATTTTGAAAAATGGAATATTCCAATATAATAAGATTTTATGTTCTAAAATAACACACAATGTTTGGTCAAAATGTTGAGTATGAGACTACAGAATGGACACACTTTTCTCACAAATATATACATATTTTTACTAAAAAAGAAAATGTTATATTTAAAAAGTCGGCG